TTTTTGTCAGACAATTGTATCCATCTGGAACCATTTCCTCCCCAAGAGCTGGTTTTATTTTCAAGTCCTCATGCAAATAGGACTGGAATGCAGACAAAGTCTGCACTACAGACAAAGCAATTTATTTGAGAGTTTTAGAAGGAAATAACAAATAGTGCTTAAGACTTTAAGTTGTATATATAGGAACTAGTGAAAGACTGGTGACTTGGTTTATAGCACGAGAATACACGGGTTCATTCTCCAAGCTGCAGGCAAGTGAAAAGCTGCTAAAAAGAGCAGTTTCTCAAATACCCATAGAAATCATCAGTCAGTACAATGTGACTGGAAAAATAAAAGAAAGCGAAGCTATTCTTCCAAACCAGTCCCTAAGATAATTGTTTGTCAAGCTTCTCTGTTTCACATATTTCCCTGAGGAAACTTTCTATACTCCCCCAGCTAAAAACAGATTTTTACTGGTGGTTATTTTTTTACCATCAGTGCAAGAGTTCACATGAGAAAGGTTGCAGCATGGGAAATGAGTTCCAGTTCATATGGGTCTCTGAAACCTAGAAGATTTGTTCCACACTGGAATTGTTCCACTGTTTGAAAACAAGTGGGTTTTTTTTTTTGCAAATGTTACACATTGCAGTGGAGTAGGTGGGTAAAACTATTGGCTAGGCCAGTGGCACTAGGCATGAAAAAACTGTGTTCACACCTCAGCTCTCCTTAGAGGAGGACATCCCACAATAACAACTTCAAGCGCATTTTTCCACCCTCAGCCCTTGCTCTAATCCTGGAAGTAGCTATTTCTTTTTAAAAGTTCTTAACAGAATTTTGTCAAACTCCGAAGTTGCTACAAAAAAAGCTGAGTGATGCTGGAAAAGCATATTTCAGCAAAAGCAAAGTTCTCTGAAAATACAGCAACTATTTCTAAGCAGTGTGTAGATGAATTGGGCTCTATTCCAGTGCCAATGAACACACTGTTTCTTCTTTCTCATGCTCTTTCCTCTCAGCATTCTCACAGGATTGGGCAAGAAGGTAATTTAAAACCAGTTTTGGCATTAAAATGGTTTTCCACTACAAAGGGCTGATTCATCAAAGTCAAAAAAAGTTCACAAGAATAGCGTAGATTTCAGTGAATCTCCTGGTAAAAGAATTGGTGAACACTTTTTAAATTTAAGACTATCTTTTATATTCCTGTTAGCTAATTAATGCAGTTGTTGGTTTCGGGGTTTTTTTTAATTAAAAAGAAGTCTGAAAACAACACATCTAAATATAGTTACAGTTTAAAAGGTTCACTGATCTGGGACAAAAGTTACTTACCCTTCTTGGTTCCATAGTTCGTCACAATTCAGAACTGTGTCTTAATCCTAGTTCTTGCTGGGTAATTTTATTTAACGCTTTCAGGAGACAGAAAACCATTTACCATCTAGTGATTGTGGTATTTTATTCTCCCTGTGCACTTTTCCCTTTGTGTGACAGAATTCAGTGAGCAATTCCAATCCACTACATTCCAGATGGTTATAGTTTTGCAATAAACTTGCATCAACATCCTCTCTAAATTACCCAGACACTACTCCTGCTCTCAGGTCCCCTCTGTTTTTTGTATAGCTCTGTTCAGCCATAACATTATTTGATTGATCATTTAGACGTCTCTTAGATTTTTCTTCATGCACAGTCTTGTAGTTGGCGTCTGATTCGAGATCATCTGTCCCTGAACGTGCCATTGCCGTTGCGCTGGACATGTCTCTTCAGCCGTTGTTATTCGAGTTCCCTTTGTTACAAGATGGGATGGGGAGGCAGTCAGACTCTAGTATAAGCCAACTTTTCTTGAGCGTTTTACCTTCCACTGTAAAAATCAACCAGCTTTTGCCTTCCTGAGAAACAGACATCAAAATGAGCGCTACTGAGAAGCCTCAATCCTGACATCTTCTGCTTCCTTTTGGTCTCCATATGGGTGCCCCATTAACACCAATGCCAGGCACCAAATGCAAACTGGGATGAGACGCCTGCAGTAGGGTCCCAAGGGGAGCAGCAGGCCCTCCATAAAAAGTGTGGTCGCTCTGTCAGACACTCTTGATTTAAGTAGCATTTTCACTTGGGCCTTTTTAACCTGAAACTTATTTCTTTTGTCTTCCCAGATTTTAGGCTGGTGTGTGATAGTTACCACAGCTCTTCTCTCCCTGCTAACGACTTGCTGCGCCAGCTGCCAGTCGAAAGCCAGCCACCTCCAGCTGATGTTCTGGAGGGTATACGCAGAGAAGGAGAAGGAGCAACTGGAGCAGATTTTCCAGCTGTATGCCACCAAGCTGAGCGAGCGAAACCTGAAGTGCTTTTTTGAGAACAAGGAACCAGAAGTGATTCCCCTGCCAGCTTTTCAGGCATGGGAAGATGCTTCCCAGCTCTACTCTTTCAGCAGTAGCAAACAGCATTATAGCACAATTCACAGGCTAGTTGAAGAAGGCCAGAAAGAAATCAACGAGGAAAGAGAGACAATGCTAGACTCTGTGGACAGAAGGGAAATACCATAGATCAAATATATTTTCAGTTTTTTTATGTCTTGCTAACATAACATACTTCTAGCTGGTTTCATCTCTATATTTTTTCGCAATGACATCTTTCTTCTTCATCATGTTCCCTCCCAGTTACAAACTTGCTCCAAAAGGAT